AGCCTGCTTCTCCCTCTCCCACTCCCCCTGCTTGTGTTCCCTCTCTTGCTGTGTCTCTCTCTGTCAAATAAATAAATAAAGTCTTAAAAAAATTAAAAAAATAAAACATTTCAAAAGCCATTGCTTTTGTGGCAAGGTTAAGAGAATGTGTTGGGGAAATAATCCATGTAAAAATATGGTTTTGTTTTTTTTTTTGCATAGTGCAAGGAAGGAATTGTTAACCTTAAAAAGAAAACCTGTCAGTTATTTTACCAGCAAAAATGGGTTTATGCAGGAATAACAAAGAATTGCAAATGGAGGCATACACACTACAGCAAAAACCACAGGCAAATCCAACAAAGAAGAATGTTACTTTATGAGGAAGGAGGAGGGAATTGGAAGGAATTGTTTTGCATAAAAGTCCTTTGGAGGAAAGCAAAAGTTCAGTGTGATGAGTTTCCCATTGGCTGAATTGCAGTGGTAGTTGATTTCTTTTTCTTTTCTTTTCTTTTCTTTTCTTTTACTATGTTATGTTAATCACCATACATTGCATCATTAGTTTTTGATGTAGTGTTCCATGATTCATTGTTTGCGTATAACACCCAGGTAGTTGATTTCTTTTGGAGATGCAATATACATTTTTCTCTGTTGGGGCATGTAATTGATGATTCTTCTTGCTGAAGATTCTTCTGTTGGGGTCTGTAATTGACAATTCTTCCTGTAATTGAGTAGTACTGTTCCTCCCTTCTAGCCTCCTGACTACTTTAGTGAGGTTTTCCTTTATTAATTTTTGCAGAATGATGGAAAGTGCCGCAGAGTTGCATTGAGTGGAAATATTTTAGCACTTTGTGAATGTAAAAGAATATTTCTCGTGTAAATATATAAGAGAAAAGTGGTTAAAATTGCTTGAGCAACACTTTTAGATTGGTTAACCATAGCTAAGATGGTAAACTATTTTTCCTCAGTACCCCAGCTTCTCTGATTTCCTATCTTCACCTTCTTTCCTTTCTTTTGTTTTTTTTTAAAGATTTTATTTCAAAGTAATCTCTACACCTACTGTGGGGTTCAAACTCACAACCCTGAGATCAAGAATCACATGCTCTACCAACTGAACCCACCAGGCACCCCTCCTTCTTTCCTTTTTTATTATTTTGTGAGCACATACCTTGTGTGAGTGTGTTCAAATTTGCAACACTTTAATCCACTAGAAGCATAAGGTCATGGGCTATAATGTCTTTTTCCTGTTTATCTTTCCCTTTATCATCCCTTTTCTCTGCAGGCCCTGGGTTCCTACATCTTTTTCACTCAAATCTTCCTTTTTTTTTTTTTTTTTTAGATTTTTTTTTTTTTTTTTTGCGAGAGAGAGAGATGGAGAGAGCATGGGGGAGGTGCAGAGGGGAGGGAGCAGCAGACTTCCCATTGAGCAGGAAGCCCATTATGGGGCTCAGGACCCTGGGATCATGACCTGAGCCGAGGACAGAAAAGGCAATACATTTAACCAACTGAGCCACCCAGGGACCCCTCACTCAAATCTTTTTATCCCTCTCCTCCATTTTTCTTTTGTTTTTGGAAAAGACTGGAGAAAAATAAAGGGGAAGATGAAGAAAATCCTGTGAGAGAAGTAGGTCAAACTGGGAGTAGATTTATCAATCTTAGCACATTCTAAATATAGGAATAGAAAATCTTCATGTATTAGCATTTTTTTCTTTATTTGAATCCCCTATCTACCTACTCATTTTCAGTTAGCAAAAATAAAGGATATAGGAAAATTTTTTTTTTAAAGATTTTATTTACTTGACAGAGAGAGACACAGCGAGAGAGGGAACACAAGCAGGGGGAGTGGGAGAGGGAGAAGCAGGCTCCCCGCAGAGCAGGGAGCCCGATGCGGGACTCGATCCCAGGACCCTGGGATCATGACCTGAGCTGAAGGCAGTCGCCTAACCAACTGAGCCACCCAGGCGCCCGGATATAGGAAAATTTAAGGAAAACACAAAATTGAGGTGAATAAATGGTTTTGATGGATTTATTACATTATATTTGCTCCTTCTCTTTTGGATTTCAAGGACCAATGGGCTTGTTTTCCTTTTGCTATGAATATATACAGTATTTAACTCTTTCTGGACATTCTTTAGACTAACTTCTTCAGAGCTATATGATTACACTTTGTGTTATCTTTTGTCTTCCTAAGCTATTTTGGTCTAAAAGACTATACAACACCTTTTTCCTGTTAAGTTCTTCTATTAACTGTTGAATCTGTGTTAGTTTTGTTTTCCCAAAAAATAGCATCTTGATGTCCTTGAGTCTGAAGTATTGTTTTGCCACTTGTGGTGTTTTTTTCCTGTTGGAAGGCTTTACTATTTTTTCTCTGCATATTATATTTGACCTGACCTTCAAGGTTTGGCTTAAGTTCATTTCCTCTTTTAAATTTTAAAAATTTCTCCAGTTACTTCCCAATTGTGCACTATACGACTGTGCATTTGTGGTTGGCCGAATAATGGCTCCCGCCCCCAAAGGTGTCCACTTTCAATTCCCCAGAATCTGTGAATGTTATCTTACGTGGCAAAAAGTACCTTGCAGATGTGGTTAAATTAAGGATCTTGAGATGGAGAAGTTATCTCGGGTTATGCAGAGGGGCTCAATGTCATCCTAAGGGTCCTTCTAAGAGGGAGGCCAGAGGATCAGAGTGGGAGAAGAGGTGATGCTACAATGGTAGAGGGAGAAAAGGCAATGGGACATGGGGCCAGGAGTCAAGGAATGCAGGCAGTCTCTAGAAGCTGGAAAAGACAAGGAAGCAGATTCTTCTTCAGAGCCTCCAGAGTAACCAGCCCTGCCAACACCTTGATTTTAGCCCACTGAGGCTGATTTTGGACATCTGACCTCCAGAACTATCAGATGATGAATCTGTGTTGTTTTAAGCTACCAAGTTTGTGGTAAATTGTTATAGCAGCAGTAGGAAACTAATATGACGTCATTACACTCTTTACAATCCTCTAGGTCTGTTCCACATAATTTAGCACTTTTTGTCATGTTCTCCAATCCTACTACATATAAATGGTAGAATATAAATTCTTGGTGGACAGGAACCGGAATTTCTACCTCTCTTTTTTATACCCTACAGTGTCTCGTCCAATCTTAGCAACAGAGGCATTTGGAATGGATTGATACATAAAAGAGAATGGCCTCCTTTCTGTCTCCACTGCTGCCATGGTGCCCCTGAAAAAGCTTTTCATGAAGGGGGGGCAAAAAAAGAAGCAAGTTCTGAAGTTTACCCTTGACTGCACTCACCCTCTAGAAGATGGAATCATGGATGCTGCCAATTTTGAGCAGTTTCTTCAAGAGAGAATCAAGGTGACCAAATAAACAGGCTTGGACTTTAAAAAAAAAAAAAAAGAATCGAAGTGAATGGAAAAGCTTGGAATCTTGGTGAAGGGGTTGTAAGCATTGAAAGGAGCAAGGGCAAGATTCCTGTAACTTCTGAGGTGCCTTTTTCCAAAAGGTATTTGAAATATCTCACCAAAAAATATTTGAAGAATAATCTAGGTGATTGGTTATACGTAGCTGCTAACAGCAGAGAGAGTTATGAATTGCGTTACTTCCACGTTAACCAGGAGAAAGAAAAGGAGGGAGATGAGGATTAAAACTCATTTATTTGTATATTGAATATTTTGTATGAGTTCTTGAATAAAACCTGGGAACCAGACAGAGAAAGAGAAGAAGGCCCCTACCATTGGGGAAATGAAAGGTATTTTGAAAGACATGTATGACTCAACAAACTGTGTTTCTTTGGCATCAGATTCCAACCTTGTGTTTTGAGCTGTCACACGCAGTGTTAGGTGCACAGTACCTGCATAATGGAGGGTGGAACACAGTGGATCTTCAACAAGCACTTGATGTATTGAGCTAAAATCTGCAGGGGAAAGAAGGAAAAGGAGAAAGAGAAAAAAGCAAGATGGGTCTGGCAGAAAGTACTTCTTGTCTCTTTAGCTGATGCATTTTTTGTTACATTAAAGTAAAATGTTGAAAAAGAACATTCATCAAAATTTCTTTTTTTTTTTTTAAAGATTTTATTTATTTGAGACAGAGAGAATGAGAGACCGAGAGCATGAGAGGGAGGAGGGTCAGAGGGAGAAGCAGACTCCCTGCCGAGCAGGGAGCCCAATGCGGGACCCGATCCCGGGACTCCAGGATCATGACCTGAGCCGAAGGCAGTCGCTTAACCAACTGAGCCACCCAGGCGCCCATATTCATCAAAATTTCTAACATGAATCTTTCCTGAAACCAAAATAGAAGAGAGGACAAGATGATAAAAATAGGCAGGCTGTGACAGTTTAATTTCATCCTATTAAATTAAAACAACCAGTCTTTTAAAATCCAGGTAATATGCTTAATACTGTGCCAAGAGATAAAAGAGGTTACAGACAACCCATAGGACATGGGTCTCTTCTAAAGGACCTTAATATCTTGTTGTATAATAATAATAATCAACTAGGGTGTCCAGGCAGCTTATTGCCATCTTGCGTGATTTAGACTTTGGAGATTATAGGTATTCGGAATTTGGCTCTGGAGAATCAATACTTCATTCATTCAGCACACATTTATTGAAAACCCATTATGGTTCTCTTTGAATGAGACTTTCTGTTTGGAGTTTAAAATCTAATAAAGGAAGGCAAAGGAAATAACTCATATTAAGAATGGATTAAGTGCTAAATAGCAGGATGCTTTGTAGTTGAGAAAAGGTTATTACTGTTATTTCTGAACATTGAAAGGGGAGGTGGGATTGTGAATTATTTTAAAGGTATTATTTAGACCAAGCCTTGAAAGATGAGTAGGACTTTGAATAGACTATTCCAGGCTGAAGCATGAGCAAGAACACTGAAGACATCAAAAGGCATAGTTTTAGTTGGATGTTGGGAAGGAACAAAGGATGCTTGAAGGGTAGTACATTACTTTATTGCCATGGTAAGAAATTACCACAAATTTAAAACAACAGAAATTTATTTTTTATAGTTCTGTAGGTCAGAAGTCTAACACAGGTCTCACTGGGATAAAAGTAAGGTGTCAGCAGAGCTGAGTTCCATTCTAGAGGCTCTAGGGGTGAATCCACTTCCTTGTCTTTTCCAGCTTCTAGAGGTTACCACAAACGTGGCCGGTTGTTCTTGTTCTCTATTTTCAAAGTGTTTTTAATCATTCTTCATGGTCACATCTCCCTCTGCCTCCCTCTTCATTTTGAAGGCCCTTGTGATTGCATTTGGTCCACTTAGTAATCCAGAATAATCTGTTTTAGAGTCAAATGATTAGCAACCTTAACTACTCTTTTTGGGTGAAATTTAACATAGTCACAGGTTCTGGGGATTAAGATCGTGGACATCTTTGGTGGGGGGCATTATTCTGCTTACCACAGGTAGTAAGGAGCCAATCTTGAGAGGAAAGGAGGCCAAAAGAGGTGAATGCACTGAGAAGGGCAATGGGGAGCAGGTGCATGTTTCTGAGGCTCGCCATAAATCCACATTTTTTTGAAAACAATTTTGGCTGCCCCATAAAACACTAAACGGGCAATTTTGGGGTGTAACATCAGAAAGCCATTATTACACTCAAGGTGAGAGGGTCTAAGGCAGGGAGGGAATAGCTGATCTTTTTATGTGGCCTGAGGCTGCCTCTGGCCATTTCTGAGTTTTTCATTAAAATCATGACATCATCCCGCAGGATCTCTGCATGGGCAGTTTCCGGTAATTTGGCTTAATTCGTCCAGCTGATACTGCAACCCAGGCCTTAAAATCATTCACCTACGATCAACAAAGGGAGACCGGAATCCTGGCAAATCCCCAATTAGCAAAGCTGAAGCTCAAAGAGCTAAACACTTATTTTTGAGAAATGGTCCAAATCGCATGAAAACCACGCAGTCCTTGTTCTTAAGGTGTTTCCTTAACACGGACAAGAAACTGAAAAGCTGTGCCTGGCTCCGGTGAACAGAGCCCGACTGCACCATCACGTTCAACACTAAACCTCTTCCCACATTCGCGACCCACTAGGGAGCGCGCTCTTCTCCACCCACACCCCGACAACCGGTCGCAAAAACACGACCCCGGCACAGCAGACTCTACTGACGCCGCGCCCTCCACCCGACTACGACGTCAGCGCGGAGTTCCAGGATCGCGGCGGGTAGTTGTCCGGCAGGTGAAGGTGGAGGCAAGAAAAGGGGGGCGGACCCGCGGTCACACAGTCTTCCGCTTCCGTCATTTCCGGGTGCGACCCCCGCTTCTGTCCGGCTGGGCGCTGGACGCGTTGGGTCCGCTCTTAACTGCATCTGACCGTCTGCACTAACTGCCCCTTCCCTGTTCCCAGCGGGAAGGACATGAGTGTTCCTGGGCCGACGTCCCCGGACGGGGTCCTGCCAGGGCCACCCCACGGCCGGGGGGCAGGGGAGCCGACGCCGGGTACGTGCAATGGGGCGGGGCGGGCGGCCGGGACCCGAGTGGGTGGGTCTCCGGGGCTGCTGGGCGGGAGAGAGCTACTAGTCTCCGAGGCTCTGGCTCCAGCGCGGAAGTGGGGCATCGCGTCGGCCCCGGGGCCGAGCTGCATGAGTGGGAAACGAAGTCTGGGGGGCGGTTGATGGTGAGGTCATTCTGCGTTTGTGTGTTGACTCCAGCACACTGTTGGCTGTTACACGTTAATGGTCAAGGATGAATTTGTCAGAAAGATGATCGGTTTGTCATTCAGAGAATTGATGTACCCAAGTATTATGACCACTCACTCATAAAATGCTGTCTTGCTTGTTGACATTTCTCCAGCAGCTTTCTCAACCTGAGGTCCAGGAGAGATTTAAGCCCTAATACCCTAAGGCATCCGTTGAATGTAATAAATTGACTTGCCAGGCATCCTGAATGGTACTATTTATGTACCGTCCTTGGGAGAATTGAGAAAATAGTCAAAACAGTTTCTGTTCAGATGAGGAACCCCAAATGAGGAAGGCTGCAGGGCTTTAGATGTGTTTCTTTTACCTCCGGTTCTAGGAATATAGAGGCTACTTAAAAATAGTGCTTTCTGCCCTTTCTTGGTCATGCTTTTCCTCAGTGATCGCCCCCTCTTTACACTTTCATAAGCTGCTTCTATTAATAGGACTTCCTTGTATGTATGTGCAGCTTGGGTCCCTCTCCTCTTGCCTCTCCATCTGCTTGCTGGGTACTTTGACATGGTTGTTTTGCTCTAACCTCGCATACAGCCTGTGCATAAATAAAAGTAGATGTCTCATTCTGTTAATGGTGCCAAGTCCCTCTCAGTTCAAACTTTGACGTTACTCTTGACTTTCCTTTCACTTGCCTCCTACCTCTTTTTAGTCTAGGGGATTCTACTATGCAATTTCCGTCTCTTCTCTGTAGTTTCACCTTCAAGGCCAGTTGTAAGGCTATCCACCTCCAGTCTCTTATTCTTCCACTGCATCCACTGTTGTCATATCACTGCTCCAAGGTGAAGCTCCAGTCATGTCATTTTCTTGCTTGGAAACCTTAAAATGGCTCCTTACTATTTACTAACCAAACAGCCAAACCCCTTAACTTGACACTCAGGGATCCTCATGGTCTGGCCCCATGGTTTTATAAGCTCACTATTGCATATGTCCTATGTTCTAGACACTCCAAACTACCTTCTCTTTCCAGAGCAATACCATATTCCCACCTTTCTTCTGCTGCCTTTTTTTTTTTAAACCATATGGAATTCCTTCCACTCCTTTAGAATTCTTACCCATTTGGAAATAGTGGCCTTCAAAGATTGTTGGTAGGAGTATAAATTGGTGCCCTATCTTAGGAAGGCAGTTTTGCAATGTCTGTTTAAGAAATGCATAAACCCTTTGTCCCATCATTCTAAGAATTTATCCTACAGAAACATTGACATGGATATGCAAAGACAAGCAAGGAAACTCATGGCAACATTGTTTGAAATAGCAAAAAGTGAAAATAACTTGAATACCTATCCTTAGGTATCTTAGTCTACATGGGCAGCTACAACAAAGTACCATAGGCTGGGTGGCTTAAACAACAGACTTTTATTCCTTGAAGTTGTGGAGTTCTACAAAGTCCAGGATCTATGTGCTGGCCTATCAGGTTCCTGGTAAGATCCCTCTTCTGATGTTGCAGACAGCTGCCTTCTCATTGTGTCCTCACATAGTGGAGGGAGAGAGTTCTGGATTCTCTTTATCTTTTAAGAATAATAACCCCATCATGGGGCCCCACCTTCATGACCTCATCTAAACCTAATTACTTTCCAAAGGCTTCACCTCCAAATACCTTTGTGTTGGAAGTTAGGGCTTAAACAAAAGAATTTTGTGGTGGGGGACACAAACATTCAGTCCATAACAGAGAACTGGTAAACAAAATATGGTAGAATTTGCTTCTGTTAGAAATGTAGTAGATGTGGGCGCCTGGGTGGCTCAGTTGGTTGGGCGACTGCCTTCGGCTCAGGTCATGATCCCGGAGTCCCGGGCTCGAGTCCCACATCGGGCTCCCTGCTCGGCGGGGAGTCTGCTTCTCCCTCTAACCCTACCCCCTCTTGCGCTCTCTCTCTCACTCTCTCTCTAATAAATAAATTAAAAAAAAAAATCTTTAAAAAAAAAATGTAGTAGATGCATATATATGCATATGGAAAGATACCTAAGATGTATATTTAAGAGAACAATATGCATAATATTTCATTTACGATTAAAATAGTTTTTTTTTTTAAAGATTTTATGTATTTATTTGTCAGAGAGAGAGCAGGAGAGCACAGGCAGGGGGAGCCACAGAGGGAGAGGGAGAAGCGGGCTCCCCCCTGAGCATGGAGCCCGACATGGGGCTGGATCCCAGGACCCTGGGATCATGACTGGAGCCAAAGGCAGTTGCCCAACCAGCTGAGCCACCCAGGTGCCCCTAAAAACAGGGTTTATGCATGGGTATACAGAGACAATTTTTTTGAAGGCTCTGTGTGAAACTACAGAGTGGAGTAAGGGAGTGAGAAAGAGTATTTTTTTTTTAAGATTTATTTATTTATTTTAGATTTTATTTCTTTATTTGACACAGAGAGAGCGCACAAGCAGGGGGAGTGGCAGGCAGAGGGAGAGGGAGAAAGAGAAGCAGGCTTTCCACTGAGCAGAGAGCCTGATGCGGGGCTCGATCCCAGGTTCGTGACCTGAGCCAAAGGCAGATGCCCAACTGACTGAGCCACCCAGGTGCCCCTAAGATTTTGTTTTTTAAGTAATCTGTACACCCAATGTGGGGCTCAAAATCATAACCCCAAGATCAAGAGTTGCATGCTGTACCAAATGAGCCAGACTAGGTGCCCCAAGAAAGAGTATTTTTACTTTTCAGCTTATACTTCCCTCTTTTGCATTTCAAGTTTTTACAATGAGTAATACTTAAAAAGAAATTTCTATCCATTCTGCAAGCTTAAGCTCCAGTTCCCACACTTCCTTTAGAAGTTGTTCCCAGACTTCCCTGATAAACATGATCTTTCTCTCCTCTGAATTCCCATAACAGTTTCTTTTTCTCTAATGGCACTTCTCATATATTATGATTCCCCTGTATCGAGCCCTTTCAGAGAAGGGGACTTGCTTAGTTTATTCTTGTAACCTTGGAAACTAGTAACTAGTACTAGTATTAATACAAGTGTGTAGCTAATATTTCTTGTATGAGGAGGGTAAGGACCCTTTCTTTTTCTTTTTCTTTAATCTCCCACAGTAAAGTACCTTGAATTTAGTAACTTGATGTATTTAGAAATGTAAGTTGGACTCTTCCATAATTAACCAGAAGATTGGGGTAGAGTAGGGGAGGTCTGTGAGTTAAAATGTTTAAATAATGTAGGGGAAGTGTATTAGTTGTGATTCCTTAAAGTTGACATATCCTTATTTGGGTGTTTCTGTTGTTTATCTGTAATACTTGTTTTCTGTATATCCTTAAAGAGAGTTGCTGTTTGCCCTGTTACTATAATTAAGCCTTAAGCAATGGCATTAATTTTCAGATACACTTTATTCACTTCCCATCTGATGGCACATCAGTGGCAATATCTGTAAAACTCCACTTTTTCCCATTACATGTATTTTTTAAAGATTTATTTATTTATTTGAGAGAGAGAGTGCATGCACACGGTGGGGAAGGGCAGAGGGAGAGGGGGAGAGAGAATCCCAAGTGACTCCGCGCTGACCAGAGCCCAACTCGGGGCTTGATCGCAAGACCCTGAGACCATGACCTGAGCCCAGTGCCCAACCAGCTGCACCACCCAGGTACCCCTTTCCCGTTAGATTTTTATTTCATTTGTGGACTGCTTCAGTTTCTAGTTAGTTCTTACCTGTTTGAATATTGACTTGCTACTTAGAGAATTCCAAAGTTTGTTCATATATTTCTCAGAATCAAAATAAAAATCATACTATTTTTTTTTTTAATCTATGAAAACTTACTTTGGGTATGACGACATGTTGTTTTTCTCAATCTTGCCAAAATTTACATCTGTGGTAAAAACTGTATTTGGAAATGAGCTGTAGTGTGCCATAATAAATATATTTTATATAATGATCTAATTTGATGTCACTGATTATTACCAGATTATGATTAAATGGAGATGTTTCAGAGTTTAATATATAAAAATGCTTTTAGAGTACAATTTTAGTAATATGACCATGTCACTTTTTTTTCTCATTCTAAACCAATGATTCTAAAATCTTACAAACCATTCATCGAACCCTGTTTAGAAATTGTTTTGTACTTTTCTTGGTAGGAGTAGTGATTGATGGGTATTTATTTTAGATGTTTTTGAATGGCTGACAGTGCTTACACTGTTATTCAAAGGAGAAGTATGAAGCATAGTTCCTGGCATCACGTCGAGATTTACATGCAATTATTATACACTATTTTCTATGGTAAATTAAGGTGCTGAGTCTCAAGAGAAATCCTTTGGAAATCTTTCTCCTTCTAACAAATGATAAAACAACCTTCCTTTTACATGGAAATAATATATCAAGCTATTTACAAAGTAAATGTTGACCCACATCAATTGAATTACATTCAATTGAAAAAAAATTTTTTTAGGCATTGCATTTCTGCATGCTTATGAAAAGAAGAATTTATTGCTTTCATTCAGTGACTGTTACCCATTTTTAGGCCTCGGACTCTTAATAATCCATTGAAAACTGCAAATCCTCTGCCCTGGAAAATACGTAAACATACAGAATATGTTTTGCATGTGTTAATGTTCTTTTAATCCAGACTTTTCCTTATACCAGTAGCTTAAAAACATTTTTTGAGTGCCCGTATCTTGTTTTTTAGAGGATGCTCGGAAGGTAAAGCTAAAAAAAAGCAAAGGAAGGCTGCCCGTAGTGTCCTGTGTGTGTACTCTGAACCCCAGAGCCAGCCCCCGCCTTCCCCACTACTCTCTTATCCCATGTCCATTTACACGACTCCTACATTTGATTTTTTCTTGGGGACAGGTTTAAGGGACGCTTCTCCAGATGAAGGGTTACTAGAGGACTTGACTGTAGAGGACAAAGCTGTGGAGCAGCTCGCAGAAGGATTGCTTTCTCACTACCTGCCGGATCTGCAGAGATCAAAACAAGCTCTTCAGGAACTCACGTGAGCTAACAAAAACCTTCCATGCACTCCTTTCCCCTTGTATATAAACTGTATTAAGGCATAACATTTTGTAACATTTAATACAGTTGAGTATTTCTGTCTTTAGTGGTAGCAGTTGGGAGTGAGGGAGTACTTAGTAATCTAAATGTAAAAAGTGAGAGGCGCCCAGCTGGCTCAGTCCCAGAAGCAGGAGCATGTGACTCTGGATCTTGGGATCCTGAGTTCAAGCCCCACATTGGGCACAGAGATTACTTAAGTGAATAAAACTTTAAATGTAAAAAGTACTCCTAGAGTGTTTGGTCTTTTATAAGAGGTACCCCTAAATCTGATCTGTGCCCAACCAGCTGCACCACCTGGACTATTGATCTGATCTGGACTATTTGATTAGTTTTGGTGTTTTGCCATTATTTTATGAAAATATTGCCTACTGGGAGTGTTGCAGGATGGGCACACACCCGTTTCTGAGTAGTGTTGCAAAATTGCCTCCATAAGAGCCACATTCATTTTCAGTCGCTGGTTCACATGAGTTGCCAAAAATCTTTTATCTTTTTTTGAGAGGACCCATTTCATTTCTAGTAGATAAGTCTATCTAACTAAAGGATTGGAGGATACACCAAGAGAAGAACGGGATTTCATGAAGTAGGATCAGTATGCAAAATATATACTAAGTTTATCAGCTCCCACCCAGAAAAGCAGACTGAACTTCTACTTCCTTTTGGGTAGGACCTCGCTTAGTTGCCCACGCTGGCCTATCATTGCTTTTCGTGCTTGTCAGCTATGAACCGGCTATGAGCTGTTGCTGCTCTAAGACCTACCCTTTGAAAACTTACCTGAAAAGCCTGTATTCGGGGCGCCCGGGTGGCTCAGTCGGTTAAGCATCTGCCTTCAGCTCAGGTCATGATCCCGGGATCCTGGGATCGAGCCCCGAATCGGGCTCCCTGCTCCGTGGGGAGCCTGCTTCTCCCTCTTCCTCTGCCTGCCGCTCCCACTGTTTGTGCGCTTGTGCTCTCTCTCTCTGACAAATAAATAATTAAAATCTTAAAAAACAAAAAAGCCCGTATTAGGGCAAAAGGGGAGTAACAATCAACAACTGTGTCCATTTTGTACATATTCGTAAGGAATGTTATAATCCTTGGATTTGAAGGCCGTAAATGAGTATGAAAGTGGTACTGTGTTCTACTCTGTGGTACACTCCTGGAGTTAGGGAGTTGCCAGCAATCCTGCAACTAGCAATTTTCTGCTAGTTCCAATGACATTTTTTTTTCCCTAGTGTGTGGTATTCCTTGTATTTTAAAGCCAGTCAATTCTCGTGGCAAGAAGTCATAAAAATTTCATAGGGGAGTTTGGATGAAGTATGTTAGACTGAAGGAAGGTAAGAAACTGCAAGCAAAACATATCTGGATAGGGAAATAGTTTTTTTCTCAGAGGATCATTCCCCAGGAGCTGGGAAGCACAGTTTAATTGCAGAGTTTAATTGATGACATTGGCTAAAATTTAGTGTTTTAAATAATCCCACTTATCTTCCAAGGCACCTAAATGACGATGGTGACGATGATGACGATGATGATAGTAAACTCAGCTGCTATTTATTACTATTACTATATAGACTACTTGCCCAGCACTTTATATACTGTATCTCAATCCCGACACTTTATGAAGTGTTAATATTATTCCTGTTTATAGTTGAGGAAACTGAGGTCCAGAAAGTTTAAGTAAATTGAAAAGGATTACACAGCCAGTGGTTAGTGGTAGAATTAATAATTAAATATGATGAATAAGCAGTTATTATACCTCTGTAGTGTTAAGGAAAGATAAGCAAACTTCAGTGAAAGGAAAAAGATGTTTTCTAGTAGCTGCCTCTTTCATCCCTCTCTCCACAAATCCCACCGCTGGTAAAGATTTAGGGGAAAGAGTACTGCACTGAGAGGCACCTGGGATCCAGTCCTGGCTGTGTTATCAAACAGTTTAATTTTCATTAAGCCACTTTACATTATAGAAATAGGCCTACAGGGCGCCTGGGTGGCTCAGATGGTTAAGCGTCTGCCTTCGGCTCAGGTCACGATCCCAGGGTCCTGGGATCGAACCCCACATCGGGCTCCTGGCTTAGCGGGGAGCCTGCTTCTCCCTCTGCCTCTCTCCCTGCTCATGCTTTCTCTCTCTCTCTCTCTATCTCTGTGTCTCAAATGAATAAATAAAATCTTAAAAAAAAAAAAAGAAATAGGCCTACAGAGGTGAAGGAGAAGGTAGTGGTAGACACAAATCAAGTTTACTTCGTAGCTAACAACGGGTAGGGAAGACCAAGAACAAAACTTGACTTTATATATAAGAAAGGTTATGAATATTCTTGTACATGTGTTCATCATTTTAAGAACATTGGAAAGAAAGAAAAAAGAGGTTTGGGATCTAGGTCCTAAAAGTCTCTGGCAAGGTACTTGTAAGTAGCCTTAGTGGGGTTCCCTTTGAGATAATTCATGCTTGGACCTTCCAGGGAAATAGTTTTTTTCTCAGAGGATCATTCCCCAGTTACTGCGTCAGGGCTTCCCAGTCACTCCCAGTATATGTGCCACAGATTATACAGAACTTAAAGGGAAAGGAAAGCCAGTCATTTCTGCCTGATATTGTAGCTAAGTATTCTGTGGAATCTTTTTCTAGTGTCTAGACTTATGGATCATGAAAACACTACTTTTTTTTTTTTTTAAGGTTTTATTTATTTATTTGAGAGAGAGAGAGAGAGAGCATGAGTAGGGGAAGGAGCAGAGGGAGAGGGAGAAGCAAACTCCCCACTGCAGGGAGCCTTACGCAGGGCTCGATCTGGGACCTGAGCCAAAGGCAGGTGCTTAACAGACTGAGCCACCCAGGCGCCCTGAAAACACGCTTGTAATTACCGTTTTATTATAAAGAATGCACATCAGGACCAGCCAAATGAAGGGACACATAGGGGCAGGGTTTGGGAGTATCTCCATCACAGAGCTGCTATGCCTTCTATTGACATTATTATTATTATTTTTTAAAGATTTTATTTATTTATTTGACAGAGAGAGCACAAGCAGGGGGAGCTACAGGCAGAGGGAGAGGGAGAAGCAGACTCCCCACTGAGCAGGAAGCCGCGGGGCTCTATCCCAGGACCCTGGGATCATGTCCTAGTGAAATTAGGGCACGTTACCCTCCTGGCACATTGATGTGTTTACCAACCAGGAATCTCTGCTGAGCTTCAGTGTTTAAAGTTTGTATTGGGGCTTTACTCTCTAAGTATAATTGATTGGATCATTGGCCATGTAATTGAACTCACTCTCCAGCACCCTCCCCCCACCTCCTTTCTGTGGAGAGAAGACTGATAGCAGTAATGGTATCACGTGGACTGATACCACAAAAGTTCAAAGCCCCAACTCTGTAACCACATGATTGATCTTTCTCGCATGTCCATCCCGCATCACCTCATTAGCATAAACTCTGGCATGCTCCAAGAGGGGTTTGTGAGTAATGAAGATACTCCTGTCATTTGGGAAATTACAAGCGTCTTGTACAGGTTGGAAAGGGAGAAATAAAACAAATAAAACTGTCTTTGTTCACAGATGACATGACTGCCTATGTGGAAAATCCCCCAAAATCCACAAAGTATATGAGTTTCAGCATACCAGGTTAATGTATAAAAGTCAGGAGTGAATAATTAGAAAAATCAATACCGCTTACAATAACCCCCTTCATATAACTACTTTGATATAAATCTACAATAATTAGAAAAATCAATACCACTTACAATAACCCCCTTCATATAACTACTTTGATATAAATCTAACAAAATATACACAGGCGTTATATGCATATATATCCCCCAAAATTGTATTGGGGCTTTACTCTCTAAGTATAAAAAGACACTTGTGATAGTGTCTTTTACGGAGCCAAAGTTTTTTTTTGTTTTATTTTTTTTTGTTTTTGAGCAGAAGTTATTTATTTATCTTTTAAAAAGATTTTATTTATTGATTTCCGACAGAGAGAGAGAGAGAGTGCACGCGTGCATGAGTGGGCAGGGAGGGGCAGAGGGAGAAGCAGGCTCCGGGCTGAGCAGGGAGCCTGATGTTGGGTGGGGCTCGACCCCAGGACCCTGGGATCATGACCTGAGCTGAAGGTAGACACTTAGCCAGCTGTGCTACCCAGGTACCGGAGCAGAAGTTTTTAATTTAATTTAATTAATTTATTTATTTTTGAAGTTTTTAATTTTAAAAGTCTGACTTACCAACATTTTCTTTTCATGGATCGTGCTTATGATATTTCATGTAAAGATTCATCTCTAAACCAAGGTCACCTAGATTTCCTCCTGTGTTTCCTTCTAGACTTTTTAGAGTTTTACATTTTATATTTAGATCTGTGGTCCATTTTGAGTTAATTCTTGTGAAATTATAAGGTCTGTGTTTAGGTTAATTTCTTTGTACATCACTGTCCAGTTGTTCTCTCACCTTTGATTATCCTTTCTCCACTGCATTGCCTTTGTTATTTTGTCAAAGAACCGTTGACTATATTTGTGTGGGTCTATTTAAGAGCTTTCTGTACTGTTCCATTGATCAATGTGTTCTTTCACCATTAATCATGCTGTTTTGACTTCTGTAGTTTTATAGTGAATCTTGAAACTGGGTAGTGTTAAGTGTTCCAACTTTGTTCTTCATTGTGTGTTGGCTATTCTGTCTTTGCCTTTCTGTGTGAATTTTAGAATCAGTTTGTTGATATCTACAAAATAACTTGGTGGGACTTAAATTGAGATTGCATAGAATCCTTAGATCAGGTTGGGAGGAATTGATATCTTAACAGTATTGAGTTTTTTATTCCATTTGGTTGGAATATCCATTACTTAGATTTTTTTTTTATTTCTTTCATTAGAGTTTTATAGTTTTTGCATATAATGCCTGTGTATATTTTGTTAGATTTATATCAAAGTAGTTATATGAAGGGGGTTATTGTAAGTGGTATTGATTTTTCTAATTATTCACTCCTGACTTTGATACATTAACTTGGTATGCTGAAACTCATATACTTTGTGGGGGGATTTTCCACATAGGCAGTCATGTCATCTGTGAACAAAGACAGTTTTATTTGTTTTATTTCTCCCTTTCCAATCTGTATACCTTTTATTTCTTTTTCTTGTCTCATTACATTAGCTGGAACTTGCCGTATGATGTTGAATAGGAATAATAAAAGCAGACAATCTTTTTTACTCCTTATCATAAGGGGAAAGCATCTAGTTTCTCACAAGTGTGATGTTAGCTATAGGCTTTTTTTTTTTAATGTTTTTTTATCAAGTTGAGGAAATTCCTCTCTCTTTCTAGTTTGAGAGTTTTTAATCACGAATGGTGTTGGACTTTATCAAATACCTTTTCTGCATCACGTAATAGGACCAAATGATTTTTCTTTACTCTATTGATGTCTTGGATTTCACTGATTGATTTTCAAATGTTGAACCAGCTTTGCGTACTTGGAATAAATGTCATTTGGTTGTGGTGTATAATTCTTTTTCTATATTGTTGGATTTGTTTTGTTAATATTTTGTGGAGGATTTTTTTGCATTTCTGTTCATGAAAGATATTGGTCTATAGTTTTCCTTTATTGTAATATCTTTATCTAGTTTGGGTTTTAGTATAATGTTAACTTCACAGAATGAGTTAGGAGGCGCTCCCTCTGCTTCTGTTTTCTGGACGCTATTGTGGAGAAGTGTTATAATTCCTTCCTTAAATGTTTGGTAGAAATTACGTGTGAAGGCATCTGGTCCTGGTATTTTCATTTCTGGAAGGTTATTACTTACTGATTGAATTCCTTTAACAAATATAGGCCTACATAGATTATCTGTGTCTCCTTGTATGAGTTTTGGAAGTTTGTGTCTTTCAAGGAATTAGTCGATTCTATCTAAGTAATCAATTTTGTGGACAGAATTGTTGAAAATATTCTCTTCTGATCCTTTTAATATCCAGGAAATCAGTGATGATTTCTCTTCTATAAGTAATGTTAGTAATTTGTGTCTTCTCTTTTTTTTTTTCTTGTGAGTCTGGCCAGAGGTTTGTCAATTTTATTGATCTTTTGAAGAACAACTTTTGGCTTTATTGATTTCTCTTTACCGTTCTCTAGTTGTTAACAGTCTGTCATTGCCATCCTGCTTATGTCGGGTCATTGACTTGCTGGATTCTCTTCTTAGTCGTTGTGTATTTCCCTTTTTGTGGTCTCTACTCAAGAGTAGAACGGACAAACTTGTGACCTGGGGGTATGCCAAACTCCTTGCTGGATGGTGGAGATTTTGTAACTGTTCTTCATTCTCTTCATTGCTGTTTCTTTTTTTCATCATTCTCTGTTTAGCATAGTTTTGCAAGTAAATCATGTCATATTTTGCTTTCCCTGTAGTATTCTTTAAAATGTTTAATTCAGTGGCCCTCTCAGTGTTACTTATTCCTGTGATCCTAGCACTGGTTGATCTGGAGAGGAGTATCAGGGAAGTTGGCTTCTGTTCTTTAATAGAAGGTTTTGAATCAGAATTTTAATGAGGACCCTTAGAAGTTATGTGGTCTGACCTTCTCACTTTATAAATAAAGAAATTTAGGCCCAGAGAGATAAACTAAATTTCCAAGATCACACAGCTTGTTATTGGTGGGGAATCTTGTGTTTCCTAGTCCTGTTTTTTCATCTTCTTATTTACCTCTTGAGGTATCCATTGATAGTGCATTTTCCCCAACTCTAATCTAAAAGGTCATTGCTTCCCATTTCCTTTATGGTAATTTTGCTGTTTTAATATACATAAAATCAAGTTTTTTGGGCAAGATAGTATAAAAAACTTTTTTTTTGGATAATACAGAGAGTTGCTAGAAATAACAAGTAACAAAATGATTTTAAATGATTTGATGATTTCAGTTATTACAGTTAGATTCAGTTATTAGAATTACTACTCATTTAGGCAAGAATAAAAGATACAGTTACCAGAATGTGGCTTTGGAATATTATGATTATGATTATATTTTTTAAAGTAGGCTCCACATTCCCAGTGTGGAGCCCAATGTGGGGCTTGAACTCATGACCCTGAGATCAAGACCTGAGCTGAGATCAAGAGTCAGACGCTTAACCGACTGAGTCACCCAGGCGCCCCTGGAATATTATTTTGAAAAAGATTTTGTTAAACCAAGTAAGCCTTGGAGAGGTAATACATTTTCAACTTAATTTTTACCTTTGACATTAACTAAGATGAAATGTGATTCCAGCACTTACAGTATGTACAGTTTATTTTGGCTATGTGCTTTTGTTTCAGACAGAACCAAGTTGTATTACTAGACACACTGGAACAGGAGATTTCAAAATTTAAAGAATGTCATTCTATGTTGGATATTAATGCTTTGGTAAGTATGATTTAGTTGACACAGTGTAATGAGAGCTTGGCTTAGAAATAACTAGGTTTATCCCGTGCAACTTTGTACTTAGGTATATTTAGGATCTTTTCCTCTAATTTTAATGTTTAGGATTTGTCTTTTAACAGGAAACCTTTATTTACTTCACTAGAACTTCCATTGTCTTGAATTGTTATCTTTCAAATGTTGAACTTGTAATAGAAAATGGAACTTTTTTGTTAAAGTCTAGAATAGATTTGCTCATAATAATTAAAGACTTCTGAAAGAGAACTAAGAGAACTAAAAGAACTAAAAGTAAGGAACTTTTGGGGTACTGTGTTTCCCCTTAAGGAGAGTGCATCTCTCCTAATCAATTACAAGACTTCTTAAAAATCAACATTTTATTTAATTGTATGGCCTATTCATAGTGTCATTACATATTAATGCTGAAATGGACCCTTTGGGGGGTCCTTTATAGATCCTTTATATCTTTCAGTGTATGTGACAGTAGTGAATTTCATCAGAAGCTTTATAGCATTTTGATGAGAGGAACTGATACTCTATTTTAAGAAACAGGGAATTAACAAAAATAAGGAACTTTTGGCTACCTTTCTTTTCACCTCAACATTAAGCAGTAGCTTGGTTTGTATGATTTTGTGGACTTTCATACCTATGTCAAAAAATGAACTTTTTGTTGAACAAATGTGGCTCATTAATGTTTTCCCTTTATAATGATCAAAAACAGAGTTCATCTTCTGTAGCAATAGGCAGAGGCCTGGGGTAGTAAATACAAAGTCTTCCACTTAATGGTTTTCTGACTTGTTCTGAAGGAGGTGGACAAGGCTACGCTGACCTACTTTTGTCTTCCCCACTGAATTCATATTGCAGCAGAACAACCATTTGCTGAGTGAATGAGTGATAAATGAATGAACCAAGCAGATGTAATAGTGTTGCTTCAGTTTGCAGAGATCGTCCTGTTTTTTCCTCTCTCAGCCCAAGAGTGGTTTGATTATCATTCAGGAACTGAGAACTATAAGGCCTGGGGTGGGGTGGGGTGGGGGTGGGGGGGGAGAGGATCTGTAAGCTCTAGAGTTCATCAGACTAAGACTTTACTTGTAGATACATGTAGGTTGCTAATTTCTTTACAACACGTCTCTTATTCTTGTTACTTGGTCTTCTCTTTCTGTTAACCTTGGCTCCTGAGAATGAGGTGCTTTTTTCTTTTGCTCCCATCTCTGCCTGAGATGGAATGTCCATACATACCATGACTTGGGAAGAAAAGTGTCCTTACAGAGGTGGTTCTGTGTGGTCTCACTTTAGAAGCCCAAGGAACATGACCAGATTTGTCCACAGCCCTCTCAGGATTCTCTGGCCATAGCTTGGTTTTTCCTGATGGGCGGCCACTTCACTGAAATTGTCCTGTGTACCCTGCTCAGGCTCTCCCCTGTAAAGACAGTAGAGTGTTCTCCTTTTACTTACATGAAACTGATAGCATTACTGGATAGTCTTAATAAAATTTTAGGATTATATTGCATGTTTTTAAAGCAAAATGTTACCTGTACACAATATAAATGTCTATTTTATGTTTAGTAACTCTTTTTTTCAATTTGAACTGAATCAAATGTTTTCAAATACCTATTAGTGGTTTAAATGAAATTTGAATTTTGGCATTAAAATGAGATAATAAGGCTTTAAAAGAAGTGACTGGTTGAGGCAGAATGAACTGTAATTTATAACTTGTCCATTTTACTATTTCAAAATGTCTGTTTTTTCCCTTTTTTTTTTTTTAATTTCAGCCTATTTTAACTTGACTTTTCATTTCCTTTTCCATGTTTAGTTCACTGAAGCTAAACACTATCATGCCAAGTTGGTGAATATAAGAAAAGAGATGTTGACGCTTCATGAAAAGACGTCGAAGTTAAAAGTGAGTTGACAATTCTTTCACATTCTTTATAGAAGCAGAGGTTTAATTGTTTTTTTCAGTATTCATTTTCTGACTTCTTAGATATCCATATTCAATAACATACTTAATTAATGGTTCACTGTTTTCTTTTAAAACACATACTACTCTGGGCTTTTCTACTCATAGCTGGGCTAAGGAGCTCGTGTTTTCATTGTCCCTGCTGTTCTCATTCAGTAAGAGTTTGGAGTAAGAAATTAAAAAAAATTTTTTATATTAAGGGGGACCTTAAATTATCCAGAGCAAATTTAAAAGTTAAATATGAAATTTATTAATGCATGTGGATTACCTCAAGTCAGAGCACTGCTGCTTTGAAATGAGGCCACAACCAATAAGCCTTGATTGTTCTCTTGGTTTTAAATTTTTTTGACACAGAAAAGAGCACTTAAGCTACAGCAGAAGAGGCAGAAAGAGGAGTTGGAAAGGGAGCAGCAACGTGAGAAGGAATTTGAAAGAGAAAAGCAGTTAACTGCCAAACCAGCTAAGAGGACGTGAGAAGCCGAGTGCGCATGTGTGTTCGCCCTCCCCTGCCCGTGTGGCCGGCATCCAGGGTGACCTCAGGGTAGGCTGGGGTGAGGGTAGTGCCTTATGCCACTGTCTCCCATCTCGCAGTCCTTTCCCCAGGACTGCTGTCTGCATATCTTCACTTCCGCATTCAGGAAGCTTCCCCCCCCAAGTAGAAGACATATGTCACTCAGTTTGAGGATTTACATGTAATTTTCCAGCTTCTGTTCTGCATAATTTTCAAATTCATTATTTTGGCCCGAATGGTTTATAAACTGGAAAGTGGTCTAGACTCTAAGTGATTAAAAACTAGGATGAGTTTTGTAGCATCTTGGTAAGCATGGATTTAAAAGATTCAGTTTCTTATTTATGGAATGACTTGCCTTTCTGGCAACACAGTGCTGGTTTTTGGTAATTGCCGTTTCATCGCTTGGTTCAGAAGAAATGCTAACTGTTCCATCACATATGCCATCGGAAAAGAGGTGGTATAAGCCTTTGTGAAGAACACGATGGAGACATGTGTACACAGGAAATAGCATCTTAGACATGGGACAGGTGGGCAAGATTCCAGATAGACCCTGCTAACCATCCCCTCTGCTTCCGTATGTTGTTGCTCTCTCGTTCTCATGTACTCTCTGCGCTGAAAATAGATGATCCCTACTCCTAACGTTTGGCAGGGGGGATAGAGCTGTCACATGCTCAAATATGCTTCAGTATTTATAATACTTAGTCAGAGTTGTCACACACTGAGATACAGTTGCCAAATTGATAAGACTCCAACTTTCCAAATGGAAGGTCTAATCGCTAGTTCTGTCTATCGTCTGATTTGCTGTGTGGCCTTATATGTGGTTACTTTTCCTGTGCTTTTAAAAAAATTCATAAAGTAGAATGATATCTATACCAACTACCCATTTTATAGATAATGATAAGAATGGTGAAAAATGAGCAAATAGCTTCTTCACAAAAGAGGCAGCATGATACCTTGAGTGTTTTCTGGATTGTTCCCCTCAATATTTTTAGTAGGAACTTATTCGAGGGAAATATCACATGAAGTTTCATTTTTTAAGATTGAGATTATTCATTGTTTTAGTATTACTTAATATCCAACTGGTCTTTGATCTCTATTACATAGAGACTGTACAGAACCTATAAAGGTGTATGCTTAGAATTGTGTATCTTTTATAGTCTACATTACATTTTTGGTAAGCTGGAATCACTACCTCTGATCTCATATCAGGCTAATTAACCATGGAGAGGGCATTAGAGTTAAGTTGACTGCTAAAAACTGGTCTATTTAAAGGTTTAAACAGTTTATTGGAAAGCCGGTCCCTTTAATGAATGAATTATGATCTCACAATTTACTTCACTTTACTGGATATTTAAAAATATAAATATATTTTATCTTAAAAGGCTACATTTGCCCTCAAACACTAGCTAAAGCTTGCCTGGGGCAGGATTCATTAGCACTTGCAGGACAATGTCACCTAAATTGCTGAATGTACTCATTTATATAAGGCTATGCGTTGTTTTTCAGAGTGGTTTGTGGGCTAGCTACAATGATTATTTAAAATGCTGGTTCCTGGACACCACTTTCAATCTAACTGAAGTAAATCTACTTATTTGTTTGTTTTGTCTTTTTTTTTTTTTTTGTCCCCCCCAAGTGGTTCCTGATGTACCTTAAAAGTTGAGACCCACTGGTCTAGTGGTCTAGGTCAGAGGTTCACACTAGGCTGCATGCCATTATCACCTGAGAACTTCAAAACAAAACAAAACAGACATTCTGGAAGATTCTTGATCATTAGTTCTGAGGTGGGGCCCATGCAAATTTTAAGAGCTCCCCACATAATTCTAATACAGGGGACCACTCATCTAGATTGTGATTTATATTTATAAGGAATGAAATAGTTTAAAAGCTACCCAGTAACTCTTGGGATTAATCTTATGAAATTCTGAACTGCTGCTTTTGATATAAAGTTAGATTTAAGACTGAAATAGATAGCAGGCAGGAAATAGATACAGAATTCTGGTTAATTAATTGAACTTTTGTGATCTGTATTAAAATAAATCATGTTTATTGAGTGAGTGGCAAGGCACATATACTTTTAGAATTGTATTTAAGTTTTGAAGATTTTTTAAAATGTCAAGAATATATATTAGCAACCACTATTTTTAGGTCAGTTGTAAATCAGAAGTACTGTTACATTGGTAATTACAATCTAAAACTTTAGCTGTATTTCAGTAACATAGAAATATATCTTACTGACTAAACCTAAATGGAACCCTTTATATTAGTCTTGAAATATTTTTGCACAATATGGTGAATTGGTACTTGGCTTGAAAATAATTACCTTTGGTTTTTTGGTGGAAAAAAAATTGCCTTTGTTTTGAACTATATCACATATATACTGAACTAAAATGATGACAGTTAATTTTGTATTTACTTTACAGTCGGTATTATGTAAATATGCAGACATTGAATGTAATATGGATTGTGTCTGCAGTGAGTGTTTGGGTGTATACAGTTCATAATATGCCAGTTACACACCCTTGTACATTTGTCTGATTTTGAGCTTGTACAATGTGGACTACTTTTTACACATTTAATAAAAAAAAAAAGGTCTCTGAATTATCCCAGGTCCTTTATGAAGCTCTGTTTTGTATGTAGCACTGTATATTTCCCTTTATGTATTATTATTTCAAACACTTCATTCCTTTGCTTTCCTCTCCTGTCATCTACTTAATGTTTCCTGTAGATTGTATCAGAAAATGACTGGGCTACTCATGAAATCCTTTACAGAAAGATGATAGAGGGGCACCTGAGTGGCTCAGTCAGTTAACCACCTGCCTTTAGCTCGAGTCATGATCCCAGGGTCCTGGGATCAAGCCCCACGTCGGGCTCCCTGCTCAGCGGGGAGTCTGCTCCCTCTCCCTCTGCTGCTTTCCCTGCTTGTGTGCTCTTTCTCTCTCTGTCAAATGGATAAATAAAATCTTAAAAAAAAAAAAAAAGATGATAGAAAGTCTTGTGAAAAGATTCTGGTTGAAATCACCCAACTTCATGAAGTTATTTGAGAATAGAAATGATAACTATAACTTATTTATTTATTTATTTATTATTTTTTTAATAACTACAACTTTTAGTGATTTGGTAGAGGATCCCTGCATGAATCACCTGTAAATAATGGAGATTTCCAACTAATAGGATATTTTAGGTCAGGTTTTTAATTTTTTTAATCTGGGAGTCCGGGGACTTATGTGGATAGCCTTTGGGGGGAACATGAACTCTCATAAATCTCTCCTAGAATTTTGTATATATGTGTTTCCCAAGATTGGATCTATAGATTTCATTAGGTTCTTTTATGTATGTATAAAATTTCTTTCAAAGCAATGATTTTTAATTATTAAACCTCCAAACCTCACTGTGCATATATTTAAAAAAATTAGTTTCTAGGTTTTCCTTTTGGATGCAGTTTTATTTATTTATTTATTTTTTGTTTTTTTTTTTAAGTAAACTCAACACCACACTTGGGGCTTAAACTCACTCACAACCTGGAGATCAAGAGTTGCGTGCTCAGGGCATCTGGGTGGCTCAGTTGGTTAAGTGTCTGACTTCAGCTCAGGTCATGATCTCAGGGTCCTGGGATAAAGCCCTGCGTTGGGCTCTATGCTCCCTGGGGAGTCAGCTTGTCCCCCTGCCCCTCCCCCTGCTCATGCCTTCTCTCTCTCTCTCAAATAAATAAATAAAATCTTAAAAAATGAGTTGCATGCTCTACCCATTGAGCCAGTCAGGCACCCAGATAGTTCCTATATTGTGTATTTGTTCAAAGACTGTGTTTATACAGATTAATCAGATATTTAAGATTTGTTCTCTTGCATGTTCATACTGTTTTAGCTCTGTTTGCATGTATGAGGCCAGAGGGCCATCCAGTCTTTTGGTTAGCATTTGGGTGAGACTAGGTTTTTTCAAAGCCATTAAGAGAGTGAAGAGAGTAGTCAGGGAGACAATTCTAATGACTAGTTTAAAAAGCGCTTAGAGCAAAAATTCCATAGAAACACAGTGTGAAGGAAGGGTGGTCAAAGAGAAGATAGGTAAAATTTGGGGCAGTGTGGGAATGATAATCGAGAAAGAGGCAAGGGAAGGCCAAGTATGAAGTAGAAGGGAAAGGTAATGGTCTTTGGCAGACCTGTGTAGCCTGAAAAGAAGGGGAAACTGATATGCATGTACAGAATAATAAATTAATAAAACCCACCTATTTAGGATAGGTTTAGTAGGTCGCCCCCTACTGTCACTCCATCATAAATTGGGAGAGAAGGTTGTAGCTAGCTGTTCATTCTGGTTTAGATCATAAATATATTTCTAATATGCTTTGGGAGGCTTGCAGTGCTCCAGTCTGGATAAGGATGGGGCTGAAAATTTCTGAGCATGTATGGGTGTGGCTCACCCCTATTCTAGTCTTGACTTTTATTAGAACTTTGGAAAGACAGTCAAAAAGTATATTGAACACTGCAAGGGAATATGGGAATCCTAAGCAACAAAAATGTGTATATAGACCGGAACGTTCTGGCCTCTGCTTTGATCGTAAAACTACAGTGTGTAGGGCTTTAGGAATATAGTGGTTGGAATTGCGGCTTCTGAAGTCAGACTGCTGTGGTTTCTACTCCTGATTGGTTTCGGGCCTTGGACTTGCTTGATCCCCGTGTACCTCAGTTTTCTAAACTGTAAGGTTGGGATAAGTGTTTCTGGCTTTTTAAGTTACAAGGTTTTATGATATCGACATAAAAACAAAATAGAGCTCGGGAAATGGTGATGTTAGAGTATCTTAAAGTCACACATAATCCCACGGGGGCGGTGGTGCTTATTTTGCCACTTTTTACATGTTGATTTTGGCTCACTGGGTTCCCGCTGCCTAGGATCCTTCATCCTGTAATGTCTGCCTATTGAGACACCTGTTCGTTCTTTGCAGCTCAAATGTCATTTATGGTTTTCCAAACCACTTCCTAAAGAGTTTCTTTTTTCTTGTGTTCTATATAGTACTTAATAATACATTTGCCTTCTCATTAACAGTATTAGTTATGTGCTCACATGTCTCTCAAGATCAAGGGTACTTCATAATCATCTTTTTATTCCGTGGTGCAGTTTGTGCCTGGTCTATAGTTGGTGTCTTAGGGTTCTCCAGAGAAACAGAACAAGCAGGGTGTGTGTGTATGTATGTGTGGGTGTGTTTAGAGAGAGAGAGGAGAAAGATTTATTATAAGGAATTGGCTCCCATGATTGTGGGGGCTGGTAGTTCCAAAATCTGCAGGACAGACTGACAGGCCAGAGACCCAGGGAAAAGCTGATGTTGCAGCTTGAGTTCAAAGGCAGTCTGGAGGGAATTCTCTCTTCCTCAGGGGACCTTAGTCTTTTTGTCTAGGGGCTTTCACCTGATTAAGGTCCACCCCCATTATGGAGGGGACTCTTTAAGCCTAAAAAAAGTACCTGCACAGCAACATCTCGACTGCTATTTGACCAAATACCTAGATACTACGGTCCAGCCAAGTTGTCACAGAAAATTAACCTCGGTCAAGAGCTTGAATTGAATCTAGTAGGAGACAGATATACAGATATTAAAAATAGCTGTAATAAAAAACTGGATTCCATAAGTGTCAAATAAGGAATATTACAATAAAAAGATTAAATTCTGCAATGCAAACATGCCTCAGAAGACTGTAATCCTTGGATAATCCAAGTCACTGCTTCCATTAATTCAATTGGACTAAAAACATGATAGTCAGATCTTGGGAATCAAATGAGCACAGAGATAATGAATGTGCTGTTTAGATTTATACTTTCTCTGTCAACTGCGGGCTGTTCCAGTCTCTTAAAAATAGCTTCAAGGAAGGAGCTGGGTCGTTCTAGAGCAGGCTCAACAGATGAACACATTCTTAGATTTGTAACCGGAGAGAGCACAGAGAGCACATGGGTAATGCTGCCATCTTGTGGTTCTCTTTGCTCCCCTAGTTCTACAAGTTCTAGTGTTGTCTCGGTTTGATGAAATTTGGCCCAAGTGTTTTCAACTGTAGTTTTAAGTAAGTCATGATTTTCTGTATGGTATGAATTTTTGTTTAAACAGTGAGGTGTTTGAAGGTAATCTGTGTGGAACGTCTGATAAAATTTACAACTACACTTTTCTAACTTTTTGAGTCTTTGAGTTTTTTTTTAAAGATTTTAAAAAAATTATTATTATTTTAAGTACAGTCTACCTCCCGACATGGGGCTCAAACTGACAACCCCAAGATCAAGAGTCATATGCTCTACCAACTGAGCCAGCCAGGGACCTTGAGTCTTAGTTTGATGTTGGGCTTGAGGGCTTTATTTATTTATTTATTTTCTCCTTCTTTTCCAATTGTGTAATCTATCATCAACCACACTCAGCATCCTCTTCTAAGAAAAACATTCCAGGCCAAAGATCTCGCTGTGGGCAAGTTCTGTTTTTTATTCCCCTGAACCTCCACGTTGGGCCTCAGCTGATAGAATCTGGGGTGGGCACCTGACCCAATGGCAGCCAACCTGTAGGCCAGTTGGTGAAAAATTAGCCTGGCAGGAAAAACTCTGCCTAAATGGGAACCTCAGAGAATCTCACTGGTTTTGTTGATTACTGTCTTGGGAATATGTATTAGAATACTCACTCTGAATCAGCCCTTTTAGTCATTGAAGGAGAAATAAGACACAGAAGCAGACAGAGAATAGCTGAGTGTTAAGTGTTAAGTAGGGAACCATGAACTTCCACTTCTAAAAAGGGGACAAGGTGATCAGACCCCTCAAAATGCCATGGATTCTGAGCAATTTTCCTGTAGAAGCTCTTTTCTTAGGTTCCTGTGGGATTTGATTGCTGAGCTAAGTTTACTATTTTCCACAGGTGTTTTATAATGCCTCCCTCCCATCTCCTACCTTTCCCATTTCTGAAGTAACCTGAACAAACCTCTGTTTATTGCAACTAGAAGCACCTAACATTGTCATCGTCTTTCAGGTGGCTCTAACGTTGTGTTTTTCGAAATGTTGCTTTTTTGTTTAGATTTTATTTATTTATTTATTTGAGAGAGAGGAGTAAAGGGAGAAAGAGAGGGACAAGCAGACCTCCGGCTGAGCGTGGAGCCTGACGTGGGGCTCGATCTCACAACCCTGAGATCATGACCTGAGCCAATATCAAGAGTTTGACGCTTACCGGACTGAGCCACCCAGGTGTCCCTCCAAGTGTTTTAATATGCATGTGATCTAATTTAATAATGAGGATGCTACTTAGGAGTGTATATATCTCTATGCCTGCTCACCCGGGAATTCAAGGAAGAAGAGGACAATGACCAGCACCCAGGTGCAGTCCTACTGTCAGCCACACATCTGTGACTGCTTATTGGGTTTTTTCCTCTTGTTTTGTTCAGTTTCTTAGAGTATTCTCATCTCTGGCTGGATTTCTAATCCCAGTACACTTGCAGCTTATTCTCAAGCCTAACATTCAGAGCCCCAGTTCTGTGGAACATCTGTCATATGCCAGGTGCTGTTTTACGTGCGTTATCTTGTAACAGCGGTGCTAGGAGGTTATCACCCTAACACCGGATTCTTATCACCATTTTACAGTTGAGGACAAGGGGTGGAGCTGGGATTTGGTTCAA